ACGGACATTTAAACGCAGAGTAGCAACGGGCATTTAAATAAACTCCGCCGAGCTCAAGCTTACCACTATTTCGAAGTCCAGCGTTTAAAGGTTAACTAAAAACNAGCAAGGAAGGCATAAGATTCTTCAGTTTTCCAAGGGATCCAGCACGGTATGTCTGTTTTAATTCATGGTGTAATCACTATGTGTTGCTTAATCCAATGTCTTGGAAAATACATATAGAACAAACTATACCTAAATTAAGTGCAGCTTGCTATGCAATGAGATCGATTAAGCCCTTTATGCCACAGGAAACACTGAAGATGGTTTACCATGCCTACTTTCATTCTATTATGAACTATGGATTAATATTCTGGGGGAACTCTTCACATAGTGTAAAAATTTTTAAGATACAAAAGAATATAATTAGAATCATTACAGGATGTAGAAGTAGAGATTCATGTAGAGATTTATTTAACAAATTAAAAATTCTACCTCTTCAATCACAATATATACTATCGCTTCTCTTATTTGTTGTGTACAAAAAAAATAAATTTGAATTAAATTCCAATATCCATAACATGAATACTAGACAAAAATATAACTTCCATCTACCTTCATCAAACTTATCACTATATCAAAAAGGAGTCTACTTTTCTGGCATAAAAGTGTACAATAGTCTCCCACAAAGTATCAAAAACTTGAGTAATGATACTAAACATTTTAAATCAGAGCTAAAGAAATATCTGCATGGTCATTCCTTCTACTCTATAGACGAATATCTCAATGTAAATAGAGAATACTGTAGAATTAAGCTATATTAGTTTAAGATAAAATTACTTTTACCAGTAGGTATTATTTTGACTTGTTCTATATCCAGAGGTATTAACCTACTTAGGATCTGCGGAATACAAATAAATTCAATTCAATTCAAAATTAAATCTGAAACCTTAAACTTTAAACCCTGATCTCCTGTGCAAGGTATCCAGGCAGGGATGAAGTCACCCAACCTGCCTCCTTGTGGCAATCTGCAAAAGCAGCTGACTGGCCTACCTGGGGGCAGACAGGTGACATCCCATTGTAAGCGTGCCTTCCCCCCTCATATGTGTGCGCACCTGAGTGCATGTTGGGGGGGGGAGGCACAAAAGTATTGCACAACATGCTTAAATAGCGCTCACTGCTCACTGTATCTTCAAAGAAAATTGACCCTAGCAGTCTGTGACTTGAGATGGCGACCAACACTGTAATACTCGGTGCACCAGGCATCTTCTCATGAATTACACATGGATTCCTTGATGCCAAAAATCACACATTTTGTTTATTAACTACACCATCCAAGTGGAAGTGTGCCTCGTCAGTAAACCAAACACTGTTGAACAGTACCTCATTTTTCTGAATCCATTCAGAAAATGCCATTCTTTGATGTTTGTTTTGAACTGTAAGTGTAGGCAACACTGTTATTTTGTATGGATACAAATTCAATTCACTTTTCAATATTCGTTGCACCAATCATCTGGGTATCCCTAGTTGTGCTGTAGCCTTCATTGTTGATTTACTGGGGCTTCTTTGCAGTGCCACTCTGACAACTAAAGTGTTCTCTCGTGAACCCACAGTTGAAGGCCAGCAACATTTCCTCTCCAACACTGAACCCGCATTATTAAACTGATTAGAAATTTTATTAATTCTTTTGAATGAAAGTTCCCATCATGTTTGAAAATGGGCATGAAACCTGTTCTGTGTGACCTCTTCTTGTTTCAGTAAAGAACAACACTCTACAGACAGTCTTCCTTTGACAGACATCTTGTGTAAACTGGTGCATGAGAAGGAACAGCGTGACACTAGCATGCTTGGGAAGGGAAGTAATCTTCATGATCTTTTCTAGGTGTTACCATGTTACAAAAGATCATTCATTGCATAGTTGTATAATTAATACTAAATCAAATACTGGATCATTTCATGCATCACCCAGAATATTTAGAGTGTATACATTTTTTTATTTGGAACTATAACATCCTGAAATTTATGCTGAAGTCATCTATTCTACATGAACATTCATTTCAGTGTATATTTTGACACAAGTCACTCAACTGACAATGTTTAATACAGGAGCAGGGTCTTGGAATTATGGTAGACACACGCATAACACATGAACACATTAACACGTCATGGACTGTTCTCATGTACACCCAGTTTTGTTATTTAAGACAATCTGTTACTGTCATGTAAAGAGACTGGAGGCAATTTTACTGCAAATTTTGTCAGTATGTTTCTCCCAGGTCAAATAAACTGAGACTCATGTTTTATCTATTTTTCTTGCAACAGAATATTATTCTTTATTGTAGTGTATAGATTGGTTCATAGAAGCATGTCACCTTCTGTTGATAAATGTAACTGTTTCTAGCTCCTCCACATTTATCCTCATATTTAGAATTTACAAATCATATTCTGCACATGTAATTACCTTACCTCTTCGTAAATTTTAAAATTATTGACATGTATGTTGAAAAGTAGAACGCTAAGTACAGAGCCCTGAAGGACACCATATTTAACAGGCAGGCTGTCAGAGAAGTGATTTTTCAAGTGTTTATATTTCTTTTGAGATTTTTGTACTTGGTGTATTCTGTGTGTTATGTCAAATTTAAGAAAAGTAAGTGGGAAGTACAAAGATATGTGACATTGCTTCAAATATTGTACAAAGCTCTCGATATATTTGGTGTACTCATGAACTAGTTAGGCTGATTACTTAAATTCTCTGTTATATGGCATGTATGGGGGAATGGGATGTCAGATATATGAATTTTCCAGTTTCATGAGAAAGACTCTTACAAAAATCCAATATGTAATCAAAACAACATATCTTCACTTTATTTCTTCCATGGGAGTTTTCGTAGGTGACGCAGAAAGGTTTTAGACGTGTGTACTGTAAAGCAATTACAAATTCAGCTAGCAGCTAATATAATGGTCAGGGATTAGTAAGTAATAACACATGCAGTAGGAAGAGGCAGCTAGTGGTAGCTCAGATAACTAATGCATGAATGGTGAATGTATACACATTGCCCAAATCTGGTTTTGAATGACTTTATAAAATACAGTTTTATTTTTAATTTTTACTGGTTGGATTAGAATTCCAGATGCTTGCATACCAGAAAGTGGGTGTTCAGTGTAAAATATGCTTATACGGAAGCCGTAGAAAAGTCTGCATAGGTAAACAATTGTCTGACATGTTTCCTATTAAAAATGATCTGAAACAAGGAGATGCTTTTATTGCCATTGCTTTTCAACTTTGATTTAGTAAATGCCATTAGGAACATCAAAGAAAGAAGAAAGCAGTCTTCTGGGATTTGGCACCGTGTATATGTGGTGTTAACCGACGTTTCGGAGGAACGTATCACCTCCATCTTCAGGGTAGAAGAAAAAATATAAGAATTCTGCAAGCGGAGAGCCAAATCCCAGAAGACTGCTTTCTTCATAGTCACCACCGTGAAAGCCTCAAATC